TGATCGGTGCCTTCAGAGGTTTCAAAGGGCTTTCCCCGACATTGGAGGAAGCCCTTTGAAAGCTCCAAAGGCAGCGGAGGGCCGGGTGGCTAGAGCAGGCCGGGGCCCTGGTCACTCGCCCCCCCGCCGCACGGAGCCAGCAGAGCGCCGGGAGGCTTCGGATGGTAAGTCCTTTTTTTAAAATTTTCTGTGTGGGTTTTGGAGGGTGGGGGGTTATGTTTGTGGTTTGTGTGTGTGTGTGTGTGTGTAGTGTGTGTTTTTGCGGCATTTTCGCCGCGAGCACTCCGGCTGTATAAAAATGGGGGCTTTGGTCTCCCAAAGGCCCCATTTTCACACAGCTGATCGGCGGTTCCAAAATGGCCGCCGCAACCATTTCTGCTGCCCTCGCTTACCGAGGGCAGCGAAAATGGCGGCGCTATGGAGGAACATCGCAGAACGGTGAGTTTAGGGCCCCATAGGAACGCATTAAACTCAGTTTAATGCGTTTCTATGGGGTTTTCCGTTCCGTTTAGCGATGTTTCCACATAGCGACGATTAATCCGGAACGGATTAACGTCGCTATGCGGGGCACCACTGTAATTGGTTTTCAGTCCATTCCTATGGGAAATTTTGCTTCAACTTAAGAACGTTTCAACTTAAGAACACCATTCCAAAATAGATTAAGTTCTTAAGTAGAGGTTCCACTGTAGTTTCTATGGACGGAAAAGAGCAAATACGGATTAAATGGTTTTCAATGCATTCCTATGGGAAATGCAGATTCAACATAAGAACTTTTCAACTTGAGAACCACCTTCCAATACGGATTAAGTTCTTAAGTAGAGACCCCACTGTAGTCTGCTGCACTAATGGGGTGGTGAAACAAACAAACAAGCTATTTCTGAAGGCAAAACTGAGGCTACTCTACTTTGGGCACATTCTCTGCAAAAGACAATAATGCTGGGGAATGTTGTAAGCATCAGGAAAAGATGAAGACCAAATATGAGATGGATTGATTCTCTAAAGGAAGCCACTTACTTGAGTTTGCAAGATTTGAAAAGTGCTGTTGAGGACAAGGCATCATTCATTCATCCAGTTCCGCCCCCCCCCCAAATTCTGATGATCAAGAAAGGACAGGGGAAAGGCATTCAAAACACTCATATATTTTTATAGGACCCATCATTAACAAACCAAAGCCATTGCCTTTGACAACACAGTTTGCTACAGGATATCGTGAACTTAGTCAGAAAAAACTGGTTTGAACCTATGTTAATGAGCATATGATTGCAGTTTCTCTTCATCTAGGGAATGAAGATGAGAAAACCTTGTCTTGTGCCTTCCTTAATTACACAACATCACTCAAGCACAATGGTAAACCACCAAAGGAGAAACACCACACTGGGTATATCTGAAAAATGTAATTTTATTGATAAAGTTGTATAATTTACACTTCTAACTCTCAAGAAAGTGTTGTACAGTGGTGCCTCGCAAGACGAATTTAATTCGTTCCGCGGTTAATGTTGTCTTGTGAAAAATTCATCTTGCGAAACGCGTTTTCCCACAGGAATGCATTGAAATCTAATTAATGCGTTCCTATGGGCAAAAAAAAGTCAGAACAAAGTCAAATTTGGTTTACAAAGGGTTTATTAAGTGCTCTTTAAAGCCATACATATTGTGCAGATGATTTCAGAAATTTCAATCAAAAAACTTTAACTTTTTAAACATCATAGAAAAACATTTAAAAATCAGCAAACATGAGGCAGGAACAAAAAACGGAAAACATTTGTCTTGCAAAACACGGAACATTTGTCTTGCGAGTCATCAATCCCATTGCCAAAACCATTTGTCTTGCGAGTTTTTGTCCTGCGAGGCATTTGTATTGCGAGGCACCACTGTAGTTGTAAACTGACAGGTGTATTAATCCTAGCTTGGGTTGGGAGGGATTACTTCACTTTTGTGATCTTCAGACTTGATGGGATTAAAGGATATGCACATATGCACTCTTCACTTGGAACATTATGCATGTGTCTTTCTCTCCCCCCCTCCCCCATGCTCTGAGCGAGATGTTTGGTTTTATATTTGTTTCATTTCTGCAAGGAAGTATCTGCACTAACATTAGTTCAGTGATGATTGGTCTTTAGGAGAGTTTTATTTTGTGTTCTCCCTTTAAACTGAAAAAGAATATTATACAAAGAAAGAGGGTGGTGCTAGTTTCATGACTAAAAAAAAATCAACCAACCAATACAGTGTGCAGCCGAGCTCTGAGAACAAATGGTCTTTGCTTCATGATCGCTCTACTGGATCCATGTTCTCATCTAATTTAGAAAATAATCCTGAGTTTTAGCCAAACATGTGGTGAGTACAGAGTGCAAGCTTACTCTGGAAATGATGCAAGTCTGTACTCAACCTATGCAGAGTTAACTACAATATGGGTGTGCAAATTTGATGCTTCTTATTGTGATGTAGCTGTAATAGTGATTATTATTGATTGCAACAGGCCTGGATTCCAGAAGGCAACTCTGTTATTCTGCAATCCTAAATAAATCTGTTAGGAAGTAAGGTGGAACTGAACTCAGTGGGATTTTCTTCTGAGGAAACATGTTGAGTATTGACTGCAAGACAGATGTCTCTTTTGCCCATCAACAATGTTTAATCGGCACTTGCAATTAAACAATTTCCAGATTAGATAAGTGGCAAGTTTATGAAGGGTGAGAATACAGCAGTGGAAAAAAAGCAGCATGAAATTAGAGTTAGACATACTCTGTGTTGTCCAAAGGGTTTTGTACTTATGATGGAGAAATTGTACAGTCTTCTCACACTGAAAGGCACTTGAGCGAAGGTGTTCTCTCCCTCATCCCCAGGTAGCTTGCCCTGAAAGAAAAACCTTGCAAATTAATCAGAATAGCAGCAAGAGGCATGATTTTTGGATCTTAGAGTTTAGTGGATAACAAGTATATTCTATCATGGTTACAGCAGAGAAGTTCGATCAAGAGCTGTTGCATGACCAATAAGAAAAAGGCAAGATTCTGAAACAAACTTCCCAAAGTCTTATCCCTTGAAACTTCAGCATCATAGATATTCCCGAGGTCTTCCATTTGAATGTCTTCTGCCCTTGCCCAATAGTTCCACTTCTTTTGGATACTCAGGGAAGCCTGGATGTTTGCTTATCCTCAGGGATTTCAGCAAAAGCACACCTAGTGTCCGAACATTCACAGGGAAAAGAGCTGGTGGCGTGGACATGGCCTCCCCCTGTTAAGTCTCATCAGCATCCGAGCCATCGCCCAATCCTTGTCTTTCAATTAATGTTGTCCACAGGATGGTCCGAGCTGGCTTTCACAAGGCAGACGGTGTCCGCATTAGGGTCCGCTTCGGATGCCAGTTGATTTCTTCCCCGGGTATACATCTCGCGGATGCCATTTACCATTTCGGACCCAACAGCGATATTTTCCATCATTCCTTCTGCAAGGAAAAGAGATAATGAGCCACAGTCCCCTGACCCCAAAGCTCCACAAGTTCATGATATTTTAGCCCTATGCATCCATTGGCTGGGAATAGGATGTGGTTGTGCATTGCGTGGTGGTGGTTGTTCATCGTCGGTGAAATTTTATTAGGTGAAAGACACCTTATATCATTCCGTACAAGTATCTATAACTGTATTTATGGCTAGCTGACTTCCCATCACAAGAGCTGTGTAACGGTGTTTTACCGAACGGAATTATCCAACCCTGTACCAGACCCTAACGCTAAGTTTGTGGGTTGGGATGCTGCTGCGGGCAACGTTTGGGAGCAGGGTCTACCAGTTTAGCCTTACATGTAAACAAGCACTTGAATAGGCTCCCTGTCCTCATTTTCTTTATTCACTTTCTTGAGGAACACCCCTGCTTCCTTCCACCTCAAAACACTGCATCTTAAGGATGGGTCAGTTGATGATTTCCCCCTCCCCCCCTTGGTTGATATTATTATCATACGGTTAGGTAAAGGTAAAGGTTCCCCTTGACAATTTTTGTCCAGTCTGCTTCCTTCCACCTCAAAACACTGCATCTTAAGGATGGGTCAGTTGATGATTTCCCCCCCCCCCTCGGTTGATATTATTATCATACGATTAATAAGAGGAAAATCTCATAGTGCTGGTTTGGGCTTGTTTGCTTTTGTGTTAATATTCTTAAGAGGGTAGAAAGCAAACCTTTGCCTTCTTAAGCATGCTGATATAGGCCTCTTGTTTCTCAATGGCCCTGTTTGCACCCATTTCTGCTGGCAATTCTAACTCAAAGATGCTTACAGAAGGAATGGTAGCAGAGGGCTTAATCAGCCTAATGCATAATGTCAGGTCAGATAGGGACATGATTCGATCTTACGGCTGCTTGGTCTTCTGACCCTGCAGCACAGGCTTCTGCGGTTTAGCCCGCAGCGCCACCACGTCCCCTTTTTCATACGGTTAATAAGAGGGAAATCTCATAGTGCTGGTTTGGGCTTATTTGCTTTTGCGTTAATATTCTTAAGAGGGTAGAAAGCAAACCTTTGCCTTCTTAAGCATGCTGATATAGGCCTCTTGTTTCTCAATGGCCCTGTTTGCACCCATTTCTGCTGGCAATTCTAACTCAAAGATGCTTACAGAAGGAATGGTAGCAGAGGGCTTAATCAGCCTAATGCATAATGTCAGGTCAGATAGGGACATGACAGAATTTTCACATGTGTCACCCATGTGGTGAAGCAAGTCCTGTAAAGGTGGTGTCAGTCCCATAGCCTAAAAGAAATAATGCTGCTGATCTGTCTGTTACAATGACGCCACTGAGGACATCATGCTGAATGTGATCAGGACATGCTCAGCCCCTGCCCCAAATGACTGATAGAGGTGATCACGCAAACAGAAAGGGAAACAAGGTCGTCCCAAAAGCCAACCAAACCAAAACCAAGTTCTAGGGGGGAAAATCAAATACTCATGGAAAAAGAGTGTGTCCACTGTGATTAGGTTTGCACTGTGTGGTCAATGGAAAGTGCATCTATTTAAGAGTGAGAGCATAAAGAGCAAGACAAACTTCCATCTAGTCATGCCCTCAGCCAGATTACTGGTGCAGCAAAAGTGGTCGTATAGACCAGATGGGCGGGGTACAAATCAAATAAAATAAATAAATTATGGGGTAGGACTGTGCAAGCTAATCTAGGAACATTTGGCTGATGCAAACAATCTCTGGGTTATACATTCAGGTGATTGTGACTGGAAAATTGGCTGCCACCTCCTTACCTCTTCTACGATTGAAGGGATTAACCGTAAATATTGACACTTTCTTTTTATGTAGATAGAACAGGACCGCAACGATAATCAGGACAAGAGCTATCAGAGTCAAAATCACTGCAATGATGACTGAAGAACCTATGGAGTCCAGAGAGGAGAAAACCAAGAGTGAGAGCTTCTGGTTTTGTAAAACCCAAGCAAAGATTTGCCTTTCTCCATTGCGCTAGATGAAGTAATTACCTGATTTCCCCTCGCATACTGCTCCTGCATAGGTGCCACAGATGCATTTATGGGGGCCCGTGGGTGTGGCCTTACATTCAGTGAGAGATGACTCCGATCCAGTACATTTCACCTCCTCCAGAACTACTGGGCCATTCCCTATGCCATATTGGTTGCCAGTTGGAGCAGACAAGGCTGAGCCGCAGCCCAGTTGCCGACATACGACCATGGCCTCTGGAAGACCCCAGCCAGATGGACCTATAGTGACCCAGGAGCCATTAAGCTTGAACTCCACCCGCCCAGTGCAGGAGTTGGGGCCACCAGCCAACTGCACTTCCATCTGGCCTGCAAAAAGAAAGAAAGAAAGAAAAGATCGTATGATATTCCCTTCTGAAATTCCATACTGGTTGACATATTAGCTGTCTGGGTGTTCACAATAATGTCATTTTCACACAGAGATTTTTTTTTAAAAAAAATTACCCCAAGTATTATAACTGAATTTGATCTCCAAAGTCATATTTTTATGCTATACTCCTTCTTCTACTATTATTTTTTTGTAGTAACATGTATTTTTCTTTTAGATCACACATAATGGGAACTGTTTTTCTGATCGAGAGCTGACACATTAAATAAATTTTAAAATGCATACAGGCATCCTTTACCATCCCCATCCGCTCAGAGCTCCTTTAGAACCCGAGCAGGGAATATGCTAATAAATTGTATTAGATCTTGCTGTATTCCAAGAGCTGCTGGTTAAGAAAGGAGAGAAAACCAGCACATTGACATGGAGAATGTGTGGCATTCCAGAGGTTTCTGGATTACAATTCTGACCAACCCAACTCTTGATTGACAGAATACTTCAAGTCTCTTTCTCTGACCTGCTACACTTCTGATACTGTTGGACCACAGTGCCCATCATTCATGGCCATGGTGCCCTATGATGCTGTTGGCTGACAGTGGTAGAGGTAGGACCTCCACCATCTATGGGCTCATGGGTTATCCCTCCCCACGGAAGATCAGAATATTTTGCTTCCACTGAGAAATACCTAAAGTTTTCCTTTTGCTCTAAACATGGAAACAGGTGGTTTCCTTATCTGAAACTAATGACTGATCCTGGCTTTTACCAGACTAGCCAAAGTTTAAATTAATATTTCCTTGAATTGAGATATAACCAGTGGAGGACCAACATTTCTGGGCCCCTGAAGATTGAACTGTTATGGAGGCCCCTTCACAACCAGCAAGGAGGTCTGGACAGCCACTGTTGCTTTTTTTAATGGGGTTGTTCCCTATTATTTCACCAGATATTTTTAAAGGATTAGGGGACCTGAAGCTTGACCTTCATTTGTTTCATACTAGATCCACCTCTGGATGTAATGGGAAACTCCGGTTATTTTTTGGTTAGTGTCTGGTTGCTTTAGAATCACAAGAAAAAGATTCCCAAACTTTCTTTGCAGCTGCAAGAAGGGAGAAGAGGCCTCAGGATGTGACTCCAAAGCTTGTGACATATAGTGGGTGTAGCGGAATGCAAAAAGGTGATGTCATTCCTGCCTGTCAAGGGGGAGGAGCTAAGGAAGGGGCAGGAGGGGCGGAGCCAGAGGGACAGTTAGGGAGTTAGTTAGACAGAGAGAGAGTTAGGGACAGTTGGAGATGCGTAATGAGAGTTAGGGTAGGAGATCGAAGGAGAGGGTTAGTGAATTGAGAGATATTGATTGAAAGCAAGAGAGACATTGATTGACAGCAAACATGATCCAATACATATTAAAACCTAAAACAGTTCATATGTGATTTACCTTTTGATTTGTTTGACAATGAAAGAACATTTAATTAAAACTCTGCTTCCTAAGTTCTACAACCCTTAGTGTTGGCAGCACCTGTGACATAGGTTGGTATTAGGAGAATACCTGGTGGCAGCGTGAAGGGCGTGTACCTTTGTGAGGTCCAAATAAATAGGGGCAACAAAGGGTAGATCGCCACAGTCGGCAAAAAGAATTTCTGGTTACATTCAAATTGACCCAAAATGTAGCTCTTAAGATGCAGCACTGGGAAGTCCTTCCTAAAAGCCTATTAGCATTCATTCCAATTCCATTTTTAAATTAAGAACTCAACTTCCCCAATGACTTGACTTGCAGTCCACCCACCTCTTCCTTTTTTTCCTGGGGAAAAAAAACCTTGTTTTTAATAGGGACTCAGACTTAGGGCGTAGGACTCGGGACCAAAGATTTGGACTTGGGAATTGGACCTGGCAACTTGACAACATCCCTGCTTTGTATTAAATCATTTGAATGGAGCACGTAGTTTCCACTGGATGAAGTTACCTGAGCATATCACACTTGCGTCCTCTCCATGGTCGCAGTCATGCTCGCCCACATTACGTCCGCTGCAGTCTTTGAGGGCTCTTTCTGACCCTGTGCAGTTGACATCATCCAGCACAATGGGGCCAAGACCTCGTCCAAAATGTGCCGAGTGGGGGGCTTCCAGGGCAATGCCACAGCCCAGCTGTCTGCAAACAACGCTGGCATCTGGAATGCCCCATCCATCATCACACACAGTTCCCCACTGCTGCTGGTGAAAGACCTCAATCCTTCCAGCACAGGAGTAAGGGCCGTCTGTCAATCTAATGTTAGCCACGTTGAGGGTCATTGATGCTGGAGAACACAATAGAAGAAATACTCAGTGTGGCTATAATGATACGGCCAGATAATTTCTGAGCTGGCTGGATAGCTCAGGGAGTTAGGTATCTGGCTGCAGAGCCAAAGGTTGGGAGTTCAATTCCCCCATTGTGCCTCCTGGGAGAAGAACCAGATGTCCCCCGGAAGAAGGGAAGGGTAAAACATTTCTGATTACTCTCTACCTGGGAAACCCTGAAAAGTTGTGCCTTCTGGGAGAAGAACCTTCCTGTGCAGCTTGGAGCAAGCTGCACAGACCCAGATGCCCCCAGAAGAATGGAAGGGTAAAACATTTCTAATTACTCTCTACCTGGGAAACCCTGAAAAGGGTCAGAATTGACTCAATGGCACATAATTATTATTAGAGAATTTCCCATTCATTTTAGAGAAGCACTCACTTCCCTCCCCCCAATGGCTGAGAGCTTAATTGTTGTGGTTGCCAAACTTGGAGCATGCAGGCAAAGAAGAAGTAGACCCATCACACAAAATAAGTTGCTGAAGGTCCTCTTGATCACAAGGTATGTAATCTCGTTTTTACACCTCCAACAGCAAACTTTTCATTCAGTCGGGCACAACCTTTTGGCCATCCTGTCAAAGATCTTGTGCTAGTTCTTCTCCCACTTTTGCAATGTGTCTGACAGAGGAGCTCTGCAGCTTTTCATTTAATCTTTCAGCATGTCATCCCCTTTTTCCATTTGGTACACAAAGCTTACCTCCACAAACAACTCCTGCGTCTTGTCCATGGTTACAGTTATTGCTTCCCTGAGTATTTGCTGCGCATTCTTGGATGGCGTCTTCTGTGCCTTTGCAGTTGACATCATCCATCCAGATGGGACCTGATCCACGCCCGAAATGAGCTCCACCTGGGGCTAACAAAGCTGCCCCACAGCCCAGTTGCTTGCACACAACCTCCGCATCATTCAGGTCCCAGGTACGGTCACACACTGTTCCCCATGCAGTACTGTGAGATGTCCGAATCTCAATTCTCCCACTGCAGCGATCTGAGCCATTGACCAGCCTGAGATCCTCTGAAAATCAGAATAAGGAAAGGTGCAGGAAGAGCAGAGGTTAAGACTGTATTGCAGAGAACAAACTCAGGAGGCTTTGACAGTCCCAATGAACAGAATACGTCAGCCTGGACTGATATAGCTGCTCTGACTGATATTGCCTCCATCATTGCACAGACATAAAGAATGATTTTACCTTACTCCTATAAAGTTTCGCTGCAAATGTAGCTAATAAGCTAAGCCACATCCAGCTTTCCAAGATACGTTTTACAGCCAGCTTATTTTTGGCCAAAGGGAGAAAAAAATAATAATTCAACCTGTGCTTTACCAAACCTTGTGCATATCCCTCTTTTAAGCAATCACCTTAAGCCCTCTTGGGCACATGGAAGCCCTGTTTTCAGTGAGGTGCTCTCCGGCTTGAATAAATGCAACTTCAACATTTCTGAAGTGTCCACGCAGTGCTCCACTTGTGGAGCTATTATCCTCCAAAAATGCTAAGAGGATTCTGCCCAATATCTATTACACACTCCCAGGGTGAACTTCTATTATGTTTTATTGCCCTGTTTTCCTAATTCTTGAGCTCACTCTGATGAACTGTCATGTGGTGTAGGTCAGTGCTCCCCAACCTTGGGCCTCCAGATGTTCTTGGACTTCAGCTACCAGAAATCCTGGCCAGCAGAGATGGTGGTGAAGGCTTCTGGGAGTTGTAGTCCAAGAAATCTGGAGGCCCAAGGTTGGAGACCACTGGTGTAGGTGACTGCCCAAGAACAATTATCCATCATGAATGATGCTCATCGGAAACTTGATTTCCCAGCCACTCTTTTGGAACTTTTGCCAAAGTTCCAAAAGCAACATTCTGCTAGTGCATTATGGCACACACAGAACTACCATGGATTTTACTTTTAACAGTCTTTGTCCTGCCACACTTCCAATGGTAGCCTTTGGCTAGCTCACTGCAGGCAGGGCATCGAAAAAAACATAGCTGACTGAAGCTCAGCGCTCCCTCTCAACTCAGCTCCCCTAGGCTAATGTCCAGCTCTCTCATCTCTTGGTTTGGCCATGATTGTTCCGCAAGACTTGAAGTGAAAAGAAATTTGGAAGTTGAATGCAAGATAGAGCTCTCTGATTTTAAAAGAATGTTTCAGATCAATCACAGCTCTGAAATTCTGTAGCACCTCAGAGGATTGTGGGACACAGGAGTTGGCCCCCTTCCCTTCGTACTGCTTCCTTCAAGTGGAGGCTCCTGCATCCAAGCAGATTACCTGAACATACGACACCAGCGTCTTCTCCATGGTTGCAGTCGTTGTTTCCCCATTCCTTGGCCTTGCAGACAGTGAGGGAGGTTTCCGATCCGGTACATTCCACATCGTCCATCCAAATAGGATCCGACCCACGTCCAAACCGAGCCCCACGTGGGGCAGAGATGGCTGTTCCGCAGTCAAGGTACCTGCACACAACCATGGCTTCATTGAGGTCCCAGCTGTCATCGCACACGGTTCCATATTGCTGGAGATGTAACACTTCTACCCTCCCTGAACATCGATGAGAGCCATTGACGAGCCTTACCTCCACGGGGTCTGGAATGGAAAACCACAGAAATGCCACAAAGCCACAGATGTTTAAAGAGGATCCCCCCCCCAAATGATAAGCATTTCTTTTTACTTGTTAGTATTGGTTGCCTCATCTCATCTGCTGATTCAGGATCTTCAGTGCTATATATTACTCTGGCAAATGTTTCCCAATCCCTTTTGTAAAATATATATATACCCAGGAATTCAGGGGCTATTTAGTTTAGAGAGCCAACTGGTGGAGCTTGCTTAGACCTTCTTATGTATCCTGATTATCCCATGCAAATGCTGCCATCCTTAATTTTAGGTATTTATTACATACTTTTAATTTTAGGTATTTTTCTGCTCTAGCATTTTATTTCTGGAATCCCCTCTGCCCTTGAGTGTGCTGGGTATCATCCCTGTTTGCTTTGGGGGTCCTAGGTAGAAACTCTTTTCTATGCTTGGATTGTTGAAGTTTAGATGCTGATATTTCATCTTATTTCTCTACTTTGCCTTTTTGATTTAGAATTGGGGGAAAAATTCTCCTTGAAGAGCATTGCCTAAGAATGGCCTGACTTCAGTCTCTTTCAAAGATGGGGTCTTCAGTCGCAGGACTCCCGGTCAAGTCAAAATTAAGTCACACGAGTGGATTGACTTGACCTAAACTTGGGTTGTTGTTTGTTTTCAATAATTCGTATAAATAAATAAATTCTTTGAGAGCCTGGCAAAGGGGCAAACAGTGGGCATAGGGACAGCCATGCAATCTTCTTAATATACAGTGGTGCCCTGCATAGCGGCGATAATCCGTTCTGAAAAAATCGTCGCTATCCGGATTTGTCACTATGCGGGACTAAAAACCCCATAGAAACGCATTAAAACACATTTAATGTGTTCCTGTGGGGGAAAAACTCACCGCTATGCGGAAATCCTCCATACGGCCACCATTTTCGCCGCCTGGTATACGAGGGAAACCGCACAAAAATGCTGCGGGCAGCCATTTTTTGTGGCCATTTTGGAACTGCCGATCACGAGGGAAACCGCACGAAAATGCTGCGGGCGGCCATTTTTTTGTGGCCATTTTGGAACTGCCGATCAGCTGTTTTTAAAACATCACAATGTGAAGATCGGTAAGCGAAACGCTTACCGATCATCACGATGCGATTTTTGGCCATTGAGAACGTCGTAATGTGGATTTGTCGTTAAACGGGGTGCTCGCTATGCGGGGCACCACTGTACATTACATAGGTATCCTTCAGTCAACTATGGTAACATGCTCTGTATGGAGGACATCGGCGCTGTATGCGAAGCTGGAGTGTCCTCTCCAGTGCACGAAGCCTGGGTAAAATAATTTGGAGGATAGGCTATTGCCCAAACAGCAAATCCCCCCTGTCCACGTCACTGAAATAGTCCAGTGGAAAGGCAAGAGCCAATACAACTGGTTCCAGCAATGTCGCAGGAGTTGCCAGAACGACACGAACTGCCTCTGGGACTCCGGCTCCGGATTTTGCCTCGAGGTGAACTCCTGAAGCCTTTTCCATCAGAGGATATAGCCACAAGGCAGTGAAGGTTTGGAATCAGAGTTTTCCTTCTCCTAGATGGGCTGCCTTCCATGGCTGACGAGCCCCACCTACCCGGGAATCTTCTTAACATATCTCCTACAAATGCCTCCCTCCTCCTACAGATGTCTGATTTCATGATAAAATCAAGACTCTGGTCACTCAGGAGACCAAGGATTGAATTCATCCAATTTAAGCCCAAGTCAAGCAGGCAAAGACTTTTCCCTTCAGGCAGGCTTTCCTTTAACAAAGGTCTGGGAGGGTTTCTTTTTTTAAATGGATTGTTGTTCTCTGTTGTTTTTATATGCTTATTTTAGTATCAATTTTATTTATCATTTTGAACATAATATTTGTTTAATTCTTTTAAAATATTTGTATACTTCGTATTTTTAGCTTTATATATTGTGTTTTTAATGATGTAAGCTGCCTTGGGGGCCTTTTGAGGAGAAAGGCAGGGTGAGAACATTTTAAATGAAACAAATAAATTTTCAAAGGAACTCTCCCTATACATATACACTAATGTCATTTATTTTTCTCATTTACAGTAGCAAATTCCTGTCATTCTAGTACTACTTCCATTATATTAGGTATTCTTCATTTATAATTAGAAGCCTTCTTTAAACATCTGTCATTGTTTTACATAATATGTCCCCTTTTGGGGTTCTGATGAAATATCGGGGAGACCAGAGGTGACACTGGCAGGCATGGCCTCCAGCTGATGGCTTCCTTCATGAGAAACCATACCATTTGAGGTGGTAGGCTGGAGTCATCTCCACTCAGTGATTCACACTCAGTGGAGGTAGAATGTAGGAGACCCCAGATTCTTTTCAAATGTCAGAATGGAGATTTTTTTGTTCACCTCCACATGTACTAGCAGCTAGTCTTGATCTAGACTTGAGGTAAGAAATGTAAGAAGAAAATCCCTGCATAAAACATTATTCGCTTTTGATATAGCAAATATGTGAGCTTTCATGTTACTGTTAGTGAAAGTACTCAGCTTTGTCTGGGTTAGAATAATCCTAACCTTTAGTGTAATACACTTTGGCTCAGTAGCATGATGAGGTGATATATAAGCAGCACGTGTTGCTTTTTCATTTTGCTTTGTAACCTCCAAGAAAAGTTATATTGCCCATCTGAATGAAACTACAGTGGTGCCTCGTTAGACGATGATAATCTGTTCCACTGTTCCACTGAAATCGCTGTTTAGCGAAATCATTGTCTAGCGAAAAGCATTTCCCTATTGGAATGCATTGAAACCTGTTTAATGCGTTCCAATGGGGAAGAATAGGTTTTGTCTAGCGAAGATTGGCCATAGGAAAGCCACTTTGCGAACCACTGATCAGCTGTTTAAATAGCTGTCTTGCAAAGCTTAGGTCCTGAAAACACCTGTTTTGCAAGTGCGGAGGGAGCTGTCAAAATCATCATCTAGCAGGGGTCTCTTATGTCTTATGTCTTATGTCTTATGTCTTATTATATTAAGTATTCTTCATTAATACTTAGAAGCCTTCTGTCATTGTTTTACATAATGTGTCCCCTTTAGGGGTTCTGATGACATATTGGGGAGACCAGAGGTGACACTGGCAGGCATGGCCTCCAGCTGATGGCTTCCTTCATGAGAAACCATACCATTTGAGGTGGTAGGCTGGAGTCATCTCCACTCAGTGATTCACACTCAGTGGAGGCAGAATGTAGGAGACCCCAGATTTTCCGGGATCGCTAATACGGAGGCATCACGTCAGCCTCTATGGCCGAAACTCGCATAGCGAAGATCAGTAAGCGTTTCGCTTACCGACCTTCACTTTGCGACCCACGGATCAGCTGTTCGATGGGTCCAAAATGGCCGTGCGCAGTGTTTTCGCGCCCTCCCCTCGCTTACCGAGGGTGCGAAAATGGCTTTCGGCTATGGGAAGACTTAGTTAAACGATGAGTTTTCTGCCGATTTGGCTTTTTTTGTTCCGTTTAACGAAGTATTCACATAGCGAAGGTTAATCCGGAACGGATTAACCTCGCTATGCGAGGCACCACTGTATGTGAGCTTTTGTGTTACTGTTAGCGAAAGTACTCAGCTTTGTCTGGGTTGGAATAATCCTAACCTTTAGTGTAATACACTTTGGCTCAGTAGCTAAACCCCAGTCCTATAGTCAAGACTCTGCTCACAACCTGACTTCAATCTCATTGGACTCAGGTAGCGGCTCAAGGTTGACTCAGCTTTCCATCCTTCTGAGGTCGGTAAATTGAGTACCCAGCTTGCTGCAGGTGGGTGGGCCAAAGTGTATAATGAAATCGCAAAGTACCCAGAAAGTGCTTTAAGCATGATGAGGTGATATATAAGCAGCACATGTTGCTTTTTCATTTTGCTTTGTAACCTCCAAGAAAAGTTATAGTGCCCATGTTCTTATCTGAATGAAACTACAGTGGTGCCTCGTTAGACGATGATAATCCGTTCCATTGAAATCACTGTTTAGCGAAATCATTGTCTAGCGAAAAGCATTTCCCCACTGGAATGCATTGAAACCTGTTTAATGTGTTCCAATGGGGAAGAATTGTCATTGTCTAGCGAAGATCGGCCATAGGAAAGCCGCTTTGCGAACCGCCGATCAGCTGTTTAAATAGCTGTCTTGCGAAGCTTAGGTCCCGAAAACATCTGTTTTGCAAGCGCGGAGGGAGCTGTCAAAATCGTTGTCTAGCGAAAATCGGTTTGCAAAGCAGGGAACAAACATTGTCCAGCGAAATTCCCCCATAAGAATCACTGTTTTGTGAATCGCTATAGCGATCGCAAAAAGTCAATGTCTAGCGAAAAAACTGTCATGCGGGGTAACTATCTAGCAAGACACCACTGTATACATGTGATACTCTTAGACAGGCCCCCTGTACTTGCCTACAGGAATGGCCTTTCCCACAGCAGTTTTATAGGAAGAAGTTTGTTGCACCAAAGACGTCACAACATGAAATAATTAATCCTCTTCAAATGTACTCTCTGGCCCTGAAGCAGAGATCGCAGAGTTGGATACATCTGTACCGACCCTGTCTAAGAGTCTCCATAGCCATTATCCTCAGGGGAGCATTTCTACAAACACTTGAGGAAGAGGATTGATCATGCCCTACTCATAAAGGGGGCTACCATTTGGGAGGAGGGGGGAGAGTGGCTTTACAATGCATTTGATTTGACTACTCTACTATGGTTTCAAAGAATGTAGGTTAATATCTTCTGAAGAAAACAGGTGGTTGAATGTAAGTTTCTTGGGACTATCATAACAAATGACCTGACTTGGAGTGCAAACACCGCTGCATTAATCAGGAAGGCACAACAACGGTTGTATTTTCTAAGGATTCTTAGAAAGCAACAATTGACTGAGAGTTTGTTAATCACCTTCTATAGGAGTTCGATTGAGAGCATATTATCCTACTGTCTCTGTGTATGGTTCACGAGCTGCACAGTGGCAGAGAAAAAGGCAATTCAAAGGGTGATTAAGATGGCCCAAAACATCATTGGCTGTTCACTCCTCTCTTTGGAAGAATTGTATAAGAACAGATGTAAGAGGAAGATATCTAACATACTGAAAGACTCCTCTCATCCGGGATATCAGCTCTTTAAACTATTACCATCAGGAAGGAGATTCAGGGTATTGAAAGCAAGGACAAGCAGATTCAAGAACAGTTTTTACCCAAGTGCAGTATTGAGTTTAAATGCGGGGCCATAGGTTTTTGGTGGAATTTTAATTGCTGAGAGAAAACGGGGTATCTATATTTGGATGGTGAAAGTTGTGTATATTTTAACTTTTTTTTGTAGTGTTGTCCAGTTTTACCTTGGGGAAGAGCACCTCATTTCGTTGCACCCACTTGTGAGCGCAATGACAAATAAATTTCTTATGTCTTATGTCTTAAAAAACAACTGTTGATGAACCCTTCCCCTCCATAGTGCTGTCCTTTACTCAATTGGTTGTCTCCTCAATTTTACAATTTTTATTTGACCGCTTTAGCATTTCATAGCTTTTGCAAGCTACTTTGGGACTTACGTAAGGGAGAAATAGCACAGATTTATTTTAGTAACAAATGAAATATGGTAGATCGCTCTCTGGGTGGGAGAATTCCGTTTTGAGACATATCTAGATGCAACATCTGCTTCTTGAAAGAATTTGTAGATGGCATTTATAACCTACTTCTCAGATCTAAGAATGGCTGCTAAAGTGGTTTGAGTGGGAAAGTGGGAAAATGCAGGAATGATGTGATCAAAAGCAATTAAGAATAACAAGCCAGGAGTTGTTAGGGTTGCAAAAAATGACTGAATTCATCAAGGGAAGGGAAGACAAACTTAAGCTCTGGCCAAAGCCGAAGGAAACCCAGCTTTTCTCCTCCCAAAGTCTTTAAAGTCACTTGGAACTCAAAAAGAGGAGTTAATTCTTTTTCTTTTGCCAGGGATTCCCATTGCCACTGCCACCACCAACTAGACCCACTCCTGCATTCCAGCCATTCTCGTCTTGATGAGCAAGAGGTGCAAGGCAAGGACTCCCAGGCTGGGTGCAATGAGCAGAAAACTCCATTGGGGAGAAGGAAGTCCATCAAATATGGCGCCAACATATTAGGTGCAAAGCATACAGTACCTGCACATTCAACACCAGCATCTTCTCCATGATTGCAGTTGTTGATTCCCCAGGTGCTTCCTGTGCAGTCTCGGAGGGCAGATTCTGTTCCTTGACAATTGACATCGTCCAGCCAGATGGGCCCTGTTCCCTGCCCATAGAAAGCCTTTGCATGGGCTTTTAGAGCCACACCACAGCCCATCTCCCTGCAGACAACCTCAGCATGTTTGGAGCCCCAGCGGTCATCGCACACCGTCCCCCACTGCTGGTCATGAAATATCTCCACTCGTCCTGAGCAACGACTTGAGCCATTTACCAGCCGGAGTTCTGTTAGGAAGCAAAAGGTCAGGAAAAAAAAATCTCACCAAGGACATCAAGGCAATTGATCACTGACAATATTATGAACACAGAGTGGTTGAAAAGGCTGGAACATTTCTCAAGGTGGACAAGAATGCATCAGTCAAATTTATTTCCATGCACAGATTGGACGGGGGGGAAGAGGTTCCTTTCTGATTCTTTCACATGGAAACAGCGCATCTTAGCACCAACTAAGAGTGGGGAGGAGGAGATTGAACCATGGGCATTAAAAAACTTTCAGCAATAAAATGAGACACTCTCCTCCACCAGCCTAGCTCGCTCTGAGATTTTTCTCCCCTCCTGGAGATTGAGGGGACTGTTGAATTTCCTTGTGGTTTCAGCCAATGCCCTGAGAATCTCACAGTGCTAATTAGATAGGAACATTATTGCTGCTGGCTACCATTCACACTTATTGAAAAATGGCCCTTAGAATTGATTTGTGTTTGGGTAAGAAGTGGTTAACTGATGAAAAAAGGAGTCAGCTTCTGGGACTTTCCCCTGTATGGTCTTCTTTTGTAAATGGTAGAAGAGGGTATCCTGTATATCATCTTGACTGCTGTCATTGGTGTTGCTTTGAATCAGGCTGCCCTTTGCTATGTAAAGCTTGGCATCCTTTTTCCTGCTAGAAATGCAGACACAATATTGTGCAGCAAAATCAGGCCATTTTCTACATCGAACCATTGTGGGTACAGAAGCACTATATCCCACATTCATAAACCAGAGATTTTTAAAGGAACTGAATATTATATTCCATCTAGATGAGAGGAAGGGAAAGCAAAATCAGTGCAAATTTCAGACCAGAACTGCCCCAAGTAAGTTGGTGTGACCATTTGCCATCATATGTGAAGTCACACAGTTGATGTGTGATAGTAAATACCTACCCTGGCTTCCCATTTATGCTGATTCAACTCTGAAATTTGCACTGATGGAGTAAATTCCAGCAGGCATGGCTGACAGGATTCTGACCCACGTGTCTCTATTTTCTTTTTCTCTAAAACTGCAGACTTCTGAACTGGATTTGGCCTACTATGCAGGAAGAAGAAGTTAGGCAATCCTAACATGCAATTTTTAACAACAAATGTCAGCTCTGTATGATTTATGTGAAGTAACCTTGATAGGATGAATGGCAGCTTCTGAGGGGCTTTTCATCTGAAAAACTATGCAGGTGAAATAAGTGAACCCTCTTCTCATATCACTGCATTGAAGCTATCCTTGTCTGATGGTGAAATTTAATGTAATTGTCCCCATAGTGCCATCACTAGTTTGTGCTATGATTTCTTGTTTGGAACCAGGAAAATAATGCTACCTGTGAAGTTAATGCATAACTTCAGAAAGTAAGGAACCACATGCACAAAGTGAGTTAGTTTGTGGGATATTGTACTCTAGCTAGTTCACCATATTAATACCCTATATATGGAAATAGGTCTGTAAGGAGATGATGTTGCCATTTCCTTCCCCTCTTCCCCCAAGTTAAATGAAAAATGAAAGGCAAGAGTATGAGAGGAAGAGGAGAGGACAGTAGCTTGGAAGAGAAACACTTCCAGTCTCAGATCACAATCATTAGCAAGCACTGCTCAAAACTGGTTGTTGACAAAACCTTCATTGGCTGCTTTATGACCAGCAGTGTCTCATCTGTTACCTGAGCACACAGCCCCAGCGTCTTCTCCATGGTTGCAGTTATGTTCTCCCCAGGGTTTCAGGCGGCAGTCCCTGAGAGCAGCTTCTGTCCCCTTACATTTGACATCATCCAGCCAGATGGGATCGCTTCCTCTTCCAAAGTTAGCTCCTCGTGGGGCAGCCAAGGCAATTCCGCAGCCGAGTTCTCTGCACACAACTTGGGCATTGCTCAGATCCCAGCCATCATCACACACCGTTCCCCACTGCTGGTTGTGGAGCACCTCGACTCTCCCAGCACAGCGACTTGAACCGTTCACTAATCTGACCTCATTGGGGTCTGAAAACATAAAGGACACAGTTATGTTCAAATTCCTCACCTCGCCTTGCCTTTTTAGTTCTAAAGGGGGAAGGACGTTCCTGTTGAGCCCCCTTAAGGGAATGCTTGTTGATTGGTAAAGCAGTGCAGATGCAGTGCAGAGTCCAGACTAATTTCAGAGAATATGAGCAATCTCCAGCATCACTGCTGGGCATTATGTCTCATAAAATTGATTGCTTTCCTAGCACAGATTATGCCTGGTGACTCGTAGATACCCTTAATGAACCTGTTAAAACCATCTCTCGGTCTACTTCTGGTAAGACTGATCTAACTTAGAAAAATCCCATCTGAAAAAATGTTCCAAGCAACAAAATAGAGCTACACTTCTACACTACACTTGGCTTACGTTTTACCAATAGAAGAAAATCCTCCTTCAGATGACACTGAGACCATAAAACTCTTGCACTAAGTCTTGATGGTTAACAATGGCAAGTGGCTGCTAAATACTGTCCTCAAACCACCCAGTAAAGTTGAAGGAAAGAGTTTTGGCCCTTTTGGAATAGCCAGTTTTTGCTGCTGGTTGGTAAGAGGAAGCCATATGAGGAAGGAAGCTGAGCTTTTGCTGTTTTGTTGCAGGGAATTAATAGCATGCTAAAGATTATCCTCGTCTGCCCCATATTGCTGGCATTATTTACAAGAGATGATCTACTTACTCCGGAAAAGCTGAACCATCCAACTTTCAAGAAGAATACTGGGTGTCATGAAAACATTAATCTAGAATGATCTTATGGCCCTGCATAGGGTTTGCTATTTGCTCCATATCATTACCTGAACACTCTACGCTTGCTTTCTGTTGCTGATTGCATCTAGCATCTCCCCAGGGCTTTTTTGGGCATTCATTCAGTAAAGCTTCTTTCCCTGTACAGTTCACTTGGTCTAACCACACGGTATCAGATCCTGAGCCATAACGTGACCCAGGAAGTGCTTTTAAGGCCGTTCCACAGTCCAGTTCTCTGCACACAACTTGGGCGTCGTTCAGATCCCAGCCATCATCACAGATGGTGCCCCACTGCTGGTTGTGATAGACCTCTACTCTCCCCGCACAGCGACTTGGTCCATCAGCTAGGCGGAGCTCTGGGGAGACAGAAACAGTGAAATATAGTAATATACGGTAAAACACACACGCAAGCAAACAACCTAACATTGATTGGTGGCCAACTGTGTTACATGGAGCATGTTATCTTAAGGGTGGAAGGGGAAAGAGGCAGTAATAAGGTTAAAAAAGCAAAGGAGGGCAGAGAAGATAGCTTTAAACCACTGGTTCTTAACCTTTATTACTCGTGGAAGAAAGGGAAAGAGGCAGTAAAAAGGTTAAAAAAGCAAAGGAGGGCAGATAGCTTTAAACTAAGAATTGTGTCTGAGTTACAAACACTGCACTAGGGAGGAGGCTATTCAACCTGTACTGTCTTTTAATTGCCTGAACTGGTCATGATTAGGTGAGTTTTAGCGGAAGCATGTACAGAGGGAATTCAAACACTAGATGTCCCACTGCTTTAAACTAAGAATTGTATCTGAGTTACAAACACTGTACTAGGGAGGAGGCTATTCAACCTGTACTGTCTTTTAATTGCCTGACCTGGTCATGATTAGGTGAGTTTTAGCCGAAGCATGTATAGGTGTACAGAGGGAATTCAAACACTAGATGTCAGAGACTTGCACTGTCTTTGGACCAACTTATGAAAACAAACCAAATCAGAGATATTTGTTTGTTTCCAAAGTGACAAAGGGGTGGAAGATGGTGCCCTGAGGTATTAATGGGGCAGTGGGACACACCTATAGATCCCTTGTGTTAAATCTGGTGTTTATACGTTACTATTAATAACAATAACGTGCCATCTAGTGAATTCTGACGTATGGCTATCCTTTTTAGGGTTTTCCAGGCAGAGAATAAGCAGAAGCGGTTGGCCATTTCCTTCTTCTGTGGGCACCCTCGAACTGTGCAGCTTGCCCAAGGCTACACAGGCTGAAATGGGGGAAGGGAAAGATAAACTCAGGAAGGAAAAAGATATTATGCTCTTTATCACAGAAACTGACTGCTCTTGTCCTAACCAGAAGCCATTCTGCTTGCTTGTGCAATTCACGTGGCCTTGCTCATTCTGTTTCTCTATTTTCAAGAATAAGTCTTCAAAGGGAACCAGAAATGCACAAGATTTTGTCTCACTCTGTGTTTTTTATCTGGGCATGATGTCCATCCAGGGGATTTTGCACATTCATAGTAAAAATTTGTTTGGGAACTGACAAAAATCCCTAGAAACCTGACTGGTTCAAAATTCAGGGTAATGGAATTGTTGGTACTTCAGATCTGATTGGTGAGAGGAGGTGGAGGGTTGCCAGGGTACATCAGAGTTCGTGACAAGCATCAGAAAGCAGGAGACAATATCAATTGCTCAAGCACTTGCATGGCTTCAAGCAATCACACTGCCTGCAACAAAGCTGGAGAATCCATGGTAGAAAAATGTGTATGCCCCAGTGGCAGAGGGTAAAGCTACAGATTAGGGGAGGTGGGCGACACTAGGTTGATTTGCCTATGTGTTTATATCATTTGGTCCATTTTTAAAAAGTGAATTAGATTTTCCCAGTCCTGTAGCATTCCCTGCATATTTTCTCAGTGTAGTGCAGTCTAAGCAAGAATTGCTGACCTCCCCACACAACATGTTTCAAGGCCGTTTGCTTCCTTAAAAAGTGTTATATGAATAATTGTAATAAATGAATACTACATAAATAGGAAAAAAGTGGCATGTGGTAGGGTATGTAACTTTTTAACCCCCTTTTACTTAAAAGATAAGGCTTCCACAAAGGGGGGGATAAGTTTGCCACCACAACTCTCTCCCTTCTTTTGGCAAAGCCTTTTGTTTTAAAGAAAACTGAAGGATTGCACTGTCGATCACCACCTTTCGAGGGGCAAATTCTCCTCTACACTCTCCTTCTATGCACCTTATTGTCTCCTCAACATCTGCAACACAGCAAGAGACAGCAGCAACAAGTCATAACAAGAGCCAGTACTGTAATCACAGGACATTTCTCCTTACTGTTTTGTGAAGCAACATCCCGTAATCTATAAAAGTAACTAAAAGTTATGGTTACGTTATGTTTCAAATCCTTTAGTTGGGGCAAAAATGGATCCTTATCCAAACTATACTATTGTTATCATTTCAGCAAAATGGTTAAAGAAACACAGCTTTCCATGCTTCTTCTTTCAGTCCTGAGTTTGCATAAGCATATCCCACCTGCGCATATAACGCCAGCATCCTCTGTATGGGTGCAGTCATGATCTCCCCATGATTTTGCTGCACATTTGCTGACAGCGCTCTCCGAGCCTGTACAGTTAATGCCATCCAGCCAGATTGGACCACTTCCTTGCCCAAAGCGGGAACCCCGTGGGGCTGACAGAGCTGTTCCACAGCCAAGATAACGACACACGACTCTGGCATCATCAAGGTCCCAGTCATCATCACAAATAGTCCCCCAGAGTTTCTCGTGAAATATCTCCACTCTCCCAGAACAGTGATTAGGGCCGCTTGTTAGTCTGATCTCCGGTGGCTCTAAAAAGAATTTAAAAATTGGCAAAGAATAAACATTCCTAGAGTTGGTTTACAATGCGATTGCTCTCATACACAATGCAGCTACTACTGTTACACTTGGGCAGTCATACTTAGGAAAAGACTGGCTCAGTGAATTTGTAGGAGGAAAATGAACTATATACAACTCTGTCCACAATCTCTGATGTGATATATCCATTCTGAAATATTTTTAATATTTTTTTCAATATGTATATTCCAAAATATAAATATACCTCTACTTGGTTCTTCTAGGTTTTTCAGGCTCTTTGGCCATGTTCTCTTTTAATATTTTTTTCAGTATATGTATATTCCAAAAGATAAATATACCTCTACTTGTCTTTTCTCCCCCAAGTTACCATATGTACTAGGTACTGTGTTTCTTCTAAAATACATAATATTTTCAGTCATTGGAGCATGAGGAATAAATAATCCTCTCTCTTTCTTTCATGGTAAGGCTGATCTACCTGTTATTTGAGAAGAATTTCTAGACTACCATACCTCCGTTCCAAACAGCAGATAGATTACATTCTAAACACACACCCCACCTTATTCATTGGTCAATGAGTTTTCTAATTGCTTGTGGGTCATGTTGTTTCACTGTTACTCCAAGCCAGTTTACCAGAAGGAATCCTTGGACTTTCTGAAGAATATTTAAAAGTTTATTTTAATAAAGGCTCATTTCCCCCCCCCCTTAATTCAGGAAAGGTAAGAGATCTTGGGGGGAAATGAGCAGAACATCCATCTCCTCAACTGGCAGATAGGAGCGGTAAACATTTTGAAGAAGACGTGAGGGGGAAGGAACTCTTCCTTTCTTCCCTCAACAAAAAAAATAATTATTATTACATAAATAATAAGCTAGTCAAAACTGGAGTAGATGGATTGAATCAGTGAAACTGATGGAGGAGATGATTAATCAAATCCCTTATTCTATTGTGATTTAGTATGCTAAGCAATAGGATTTCAGCCTTCATTTTCTCCTACAAATTTCTGTGATGATTACCTGAACATTCCACGCCCGCATCCTTGCTGTGGTCACAGCTGTGTTCCACCAAGTTTTTTGGTGGACATTTCCTTAGGCTGTCTTCTTCCCCTGTGCAGTTCACTTGGTCCATCCAGGCAGGGCCAGATCCTTGTCCAAATTTTGCTGCACTTGCAGCTGCTAAAGCATCTCCACAGCCCATTTCCCGGCACACAACACGAGCATCATTTAAGTCCCATCCATTATCACACACTGTTCCCCATCTTTGGTTATGGAGTATCTCAACTCTGCCATTGCAGGGAGATGTACCACCTACAAGCCGGACCTCTATTTGGAAAAGAAGAGTATTAGAGACATATAAAATCCAGGTTTAGCTAAAGCGGAAGAGCTTCAGAACCAGCATTGCTAGATTTTAAAAATACATCTCATTTTTTCAGCACATGAACAGAACTTTCATGTGTTTAGTGAGACCAACATCTTTAGCAATCCCTCTTGAGCAGTAATTCACTGAATTCCTCAAACATGTTGGTAATCAGGGCATGGCAGATTTTGAAACCTTGACTCACACAGATAATTTATGAAATAGTGGTGAGATGATTGTCCTGCAGTGATATTGGTCATTTCAGTGAGCTTGTTCTTTCATCAGCCTTTCTATTATTATAATTACCAGTGGGAAAGGCACATGAAATAAATATTTATACCTATCATCGCCAGTTTTCTCACAACTTGTTTCTCATCTCTGTATTCAACATCATGCAAATATTAACTAGCAATGATGATTCTTTATATGCCCTGAAAAGTTTCCTCTCCTTAGTGTTTCATAGCAAGCTGCACAGGAATAGGTTATGCCAGCTGGCAACATAGCACAGAAACATGAATCAATGAATTTACCTGAGCAGACAACACCGGCATCTTCACCATGATGGCAGTCATTGTCTCCCCAAGGTCTTGCTGGGCATTGACTAAGAGCGGATTCAGTCCCTGTACACCGTAATTCATCCAGCCAGATGCGATCGCTTCCTCTTCCAAAATGTGCATTACGCGGAGCAGATATGGCAGCGGCACAGCCCAGCTGCCGGCAGACAACTCTGGCCTCCTCGATGCCCCAGCTGTCATCACAGACTGTGCCCCACACCCCATTATGGAGGACTTCAACTCTCCCAGTGCAGCGACTTGAACCATTCATCAGTCGAATCTCAGGTTGATCTGGTCTTGGAGTCGTTGAGCTCAAAACTGCACCTAGGTAAATGAATGTCACAGAGGTGGGTAAGAGATGGAAGACAGAAAAATGTCTTCCACATTGAAAACCACCCAGAGTGGCCTCAGTCAGATGAGTGGTATAAAAATGAATGAATGAATGAATGAATGAATGAATGAATGAATGAATGAATGAATGAATTAGACAGACAGACAGACAGACAGACAGACAGACAGACAGACAGACAGACAGACAGACAGACAGACAGACAGACAGACAGACAGACAGACAGACAGACAGACAGACAGACAGACAGACAGACAGACAGACAGACAGACAGACAGACAGACAGACAGACAGACAGACAGACAGACAGACAGACAGAGATACGATAAAGGCAGCAAATATTTCTCTGCTGAGATCAGAAAATGCACTATCAGCTTCAGCATGTTTTAATATCCAACATCGGACAACCATTGGGGATAAGATAAAGGCAGCAAATATCAGGTTCAGCATTTTTTAATATCCAACATCGGACAACCATTGGCCAAGGTACTAACAAGCATATCATGAGGCTGTTGCTCACCCACAATCCAGGTTTCCCCAATTTGCTGCCATCCAGATGTGTTGGATTATGATTCCCACAGGTTCCATCCAACAGACTTATCAGTTAGGAAAGGTAGACGGATTTTACCCAAGCATTTTGGGGTCATATTTGGGTGTCACTACCCTGCAATTTACTTCAGAGTTGGAACAGCTGGTCCAGTTAGATTTAATAAACTTTCTATTGACTGCATGACATACAGCTCTTTGGAAGTAAGCCTGGGAAGGTTTGGGTTTGGTTTTTTTAATGAGAATTCTTAGGTTGTTATTTAGCTTCCAGGGGCCTCGGTTTTATTTTTATTTTGTTGTTGTTGTTTTTGTTTTGGCCAGCAATTCTGCTTGCATTGCCTCCACCCAACTCACCACCCTGTTTCTGGATTGTCTGATTGCCAAAAAGGCAGTGGTGGTGATGGTGACACTGATAACTGAGTGTCTTTTGAAATAAAATTTGGCAAGTGACATAGTGCTGAATTGATATACCAACTTGAGAAACTCCAGTGCTTATCTGATGTGGAGCTGAAGTGGAAAAGAGTAATAACAATTGTTCAGAGGGACAAGAAGTGTTCACCTGAGGAAGACATTCCTCCTCTTCTGACACAAAGTGGGGTGAAGTATATTGAACAGTGGGAACATTCCCTCTTTTCTCTCCTTCAAACAAAATTTAAATTACATTTTTCCATGTTAGCCCTATGTCAAATAAGCACTGCAGCTTCATATGCTGGTAGGTGGTGCTCATCAGCCTGGGAAGGCAGCCCATCTAGGAGAAGGAAAAGTCCGATTTCAAACCTCCACTGCCTTGTGGCTATATCCACTGATGGAAAAGGCTTCAGGAGTTAACCTCGAGGCAAAATCCAGAGCCGGAGTCCCAGAGGCAGTTTGTGTCATTCTGTCAACTCCTCTGACATCACTGGAACTAGTCGTATTGGCTCTTGCCTTTCCATTGGACTATTTCAGTGAAATGGAGAGGGGGGATTTGCTGCTTGGGCAATAGCCTATCCTCCATATTATTTTATCCAGGCTTCATGCTCTGGAGAGGACACTCTCCAAGTCCTCCATACAGAGCACATTACCACAGTCTCTAATCTATGCTGGCTGGGATTCCATATCAATTCAGTGCTATTTGACATCATTTTTAAAGGCAATGTTAGTGACATAGGAGGATGAGTAAACCATCATCTTGGTGAGAATTATAGTAATTTGAGGTGCAGTATGGAGTAATTGCCTGGGGAAAAATAAATTTTCCTTGTAAATGGTGGCAATGATTTGATTGCTAAAGGAAATTTCAAATCAACTCAAACCAACCTGAGACAGCCTCTCTGTCTGCTCACACTCTCTGTTTGATTCCATACCTCCCAAGACATTCACAATAAATATGAGGAACTATGTGTTCTATTTCCATTAGTCAGTTTTCTAAACTTTCTGTGCTTCTTTCCTTTGATATTTATCCCCTTTTTTCTATGTTGTTTATTCCTTTCTTCTTTGCTTTTTCTTCAGTTGATCGTTGTTTATTTTTTCTTCATTCAAAACTGCTTTGTGCGCCATTATCCATCCAAGTATAAAACAAGACAAGACATGTTTCCCCAGTGATTGTTGCCCCCGCAACATTTTGAGGGATAGGGGTATTGAGAGAAGAGAACAAGATCAAGAGGTGGTAGGTCAACTGAGATTGGAATTCCTTGTTTTAATCTTTGTCCCTTTGGTTCCTGGCCCTAGAGCAACAGTTCCCAACTGTTGGGTAACCCATATATTCTTGGACTTTACTTCCCAGAAGCCTTCACCACAATCTATGCTGGCTGGGGTTTCTGGGAATTACAGTCCAAGAACACCTGGTACCCAAGGTTGGGAACCACTGTTCTAGAGATTTACAGAAATTGATGATTGCCTATTTACCAATGTCAATAAGGCATTTAACTATCAGAAAAGCAAACCAAATAAAACTAAACCAAACCGACAAATAATTAGAAATCGTGACACAACCCCACGACTCTTAATCAACCTGAACAAACCTGGTTGCTGTAAATGCATGTTTTGTTTGTTAAATGTTTTAATGCTTTGAATGCTTTCAAATGTTTTATTTGATGCATTTTAATGCTTTGAGTTTACTGCTTATTTGTGTCTTATTATTTCCATAGGGCTCCTGTTGTTGCTGCTGTTTTGCTCTCTATTGTTTTTCTTTCAATGAGTTGGCACACCTTTTTATGCTTTCCAAAGCCTCCCCTCTTTAGTACTGTTTCATACCCAGGAAGGAGCTCAGTCCCATAGCACTTCCTATAATTTAGCATTAAAGCAATCTACTGACAAATCACATGGGAACACACATTGTAGCAGGCCACTCTCAAGCCTCTACCAATCCAGGCCTCTTAGAGTGCTCACTACCTCTCA